CCGGGATATTTAAATCCTGGGCTGCATTTGTAAGTTCGAATGCCTACATTAGCCACCCTAGTTTGAACTAGGGTGGCAGTGTAGACATACCCTTACAGAACAGCTTGAAAACATGACTGAGCTGTACCCTAAAGCAGGGCTACTCAACTTGGGAAGCCCCAGGGGTCGCAATGATACTCACAGCACATGTTGAGGGCTGCAACTTAAATGTGGTTGCATATACATACAAATATATATGTAAATATATGCAAATTGTTCTGTCACTTATGACACCTCCCCATGGAGGGCTAGAAACGCCCATCCGCCTGCATCTTTCCAGCTCACCCTGCCTGGGAGATGCCTCGCCGTTGTGGAGTACATTCCCAGTGAAGGCCGTGTTCAAAGGATCCCACCCATGGGCCACGTGTTAAGCCCTGTGTAAACCCAAACTGCCCCATGGGCCGCAATCAAACGGGCCGTGGGCTGTGTTGAGCCCTGCCCTAAAGGCTCAAAAGCCAGAGCGCAAATAAAGAGAAGTGTATTATTACTGTCCACTCTCATGGCTTTTAAGCACCATCTCACGATTTTTGAATGCTCAGGCTTGGCAATACTACAGCAGCCTGCAGCTTGGCTTAGTGGCAGGGGTGGGCAATAAGCCAGAGGCAGTTCATCAGGATTAGAGGAGCCATGAACAGCCATGGCCGGCTGCTTCATTTATCTGCACACCCACAACTACAGCCACTTGCAACACCTGTTTGTGCAGATCGTCATTCCTAGTCAATGGGAGCTGCAGGAAGCAGTGCAGTCTGGGACAATGCTTCCCGCAGCTCTCATTGGCCGGGAATGATTGTCTGTGGCCAATGGGAGCTGCAAGCGACTGTACCTATGGACGTGGAGGTAAATAAAGCCCCAGTGGCCTGTCAGGGACTAACCGCATCCAGCCCATGGCCACTTATTGCCCACCCCTGAGCTAGTGGCAGGGGAATTAGCTAGAGAAGAGGGATGGGCCTGTAGTCAGGTCATTTGATTGGGCTATAGAGGAAACTCTGTGCTTGGTCCCTTTTCCTTGACCAGGAGCAGTTCAATTTGGTTTAGCTTCCTCTCTGTGCAATGGAAAGAACAGCACTGCCCTAGCTCACAGGGGGCAGGAGGCTATAAGGACATTGAAGATGGAGAGGTGCATGGGCATCCCAGTAATAGGGAACTGATAGCCCTAGCAGCCCTGGGTTCTAATCCTGGCCCTCCTGTGTGAACCTGGACTTTACCCCGATTCCCTTTCTCTTCTGTATTTTGATTGTACGATTCTGAAGGCAAGGCCTGATAATGTGCCTATACAGCACTTAGCAGAATGAGGCTCCAAACCTCATTAGGGCCTCTATGAGCAACCACAACGCAAACACTATCACCCTGAGTCTCCCCTCAGGATACTCTTCTGTCCAAACATGCCTGAAAGGTAAATTCTCTCCATACTCTTACCACCTGGCTTCTCCAGTCTCTAGCTGATGAGGTGGATTTTTTCCCCTTCTTATACTTTTTCTACATAAATTCATCAGCTCAGGAGCACTTGTAATTAAGAGTATAATGCTGTGAGCACCCCCTTCTGGCTCAGTGGCTAACCTGCACGTCAGGCTGATGTCTTCAAACACAAATGGCTTCTCACAGGTTGGGAAGCAGATCCCATTTTTGTAAAACCAAAAAGAAGCCCCATTCCTTGGGCTTTGCTGAAAACCGAGCCTCTGTGTGTTTGAGAACAGTCCAAATTTAAAGGACAAACTTGTATGTTTCAAAGAGGGACCTACACACTCTGTAGAGAAACGAGACTGCTTGGGAAAAACTTAAAAAACAACAAACAGTCTAGTAGCACTTTAAACATTAAAGACTAACCATCTACATGTTTTGTAAGTATTTAAAGTCTTCATGTTTGGTTAGTCTTTAAGGTGCCACTAGACTATTTGTTGTTTTTTAAAATTTTCCTGGTACAGACTAACTCGACCACCCCTCTGAAGACTGTTAAGGACAGAAATGCGATGCAGATTCCAACCCTCTGGTTAAACACAAAGAATTAATTACTACCTGGCCCTGTGTGCATGGGAGATAAACAGTCAGACCTGAATTTTAAGGTCTCAGCTCCCAGAAAAGCTCAACTCCCAAACGGACATTTACATGAGAGCCAAAAGAGGGGTGGGTCTCAAGCTTTAATGTGCTAGGAGTAGCTGGGCATAGAATCATAGGACTGGAAGAGACCTCACGAAGTCATTGAGTCCAAACCCCTGCTAAATAAAGGACCAGTCCCAACTAAATTATCCCAGGGCTTCACCACCCTCCTAGTGAAACAGTATTTTCTAATATCCAACATAGACCTCCCCCACTGTAACTTGAGACCATTGCTCCTTGTTCCGTCATCTGTCAACTGAGAACAACCTCTCTCCATCCTCTTTGGAACCTCTTTGGGTAGATGAAGGCTCCTACCAAGTCCCCCTTCACTCTTCTCTTCTACAGACTAAATAAGCCCAAATCCCTCAGCCTCTCCTCCTCAGTCGTGTGCTCCAGCCCCCACTGGAGTTTCTCCAATGTGTCCACATCCCTTCTGTAATGGGGACGGGGGCAGAATTGGACACAATACTGGCTGACTGGGGAATACAAGGACTGCCTGAAGTTTTCCTTATCTCAGGCAGAGTTGTACAAGTGGGCAGTGAGGAAGGGTATGTGGGGATCAACTTCAGGTTGGTGGAGAAAAGCCTGAGCCTGGATAACTGCATGTCAAGGTTGCGAGGTAGCTAGAAAGGCTGGGTGAAGGATTTTGTGTATCCTGTCCAAGTTTAGGCTAATAAACCAGGCCCTAAGAAGGCATCACTTGACATATGAAAATCTATGTGAAGTTACTTGGGGACCTACAAGGGAGAAACTGAGGCACAGGATGGGTGGGATGCTAGTCAGGGTAAGTTCCAGCTGTAGTACGCAATTTAAATATTGCAGAAGGAATTTATGCATCAGACTGGAGGCCTATCTAGCCCAGTATCCTGCCAGAAGCCAAGACAGCCTGCTTCAGAGCAAGGTGCAGACAAGTTTCTCTCTGACCTCAGAACTTCATGTGAAAAAACGCTGTGATCATAGGCGGATAGGGTCAAGAACACAAGAACGGCCACACTGGGTCAGACCAAAGGTCCATCCAGCCCAGTATCCTGTCTGCCAACAGTGGCCAATGCCAGGAATCCCAGAGGGAGTGGGGGAGTAGATTACACCCCCGGAAGAGCTGGCGCAGAGCGATCTGCGCATGCACAGAGCACAGGACCATGCGGCTGGTGCCATTTATGGACTTAACCTCCATGAATTTATATAGTTCTCTTTTAAACCCTGTTATAGTCCTAGCCTTCACAACCTCCTCAGGCAAGGAGTTCCATAGATTGACTCTGTGCTGTGTGAAGAAGAACTTCCTTTTATTTGTTTTAAACCTGCTGCCCATTAATTTCATTTGGTGGCCCCTAGTTCTTATATTATGAGACCAAGTAAATAACTTTTCCATATTCACTTTCTCCACACCACTCATGATTTTATAGATCTCTATCCTATCCCCCCTTAGTCTCTTCTTTTCCAAACTGAAATCTCTTTAATCTCTCCTCAGATGGGACCCGTTCCACACCCCTAATCATTTTAGTTATCTTTCTCTGAACCTTTTCTAATGCCAGAATATCTTTTTTGAGATGAGGAGACCACATCTGTACGCAGTATTCAAGATGTGGGCGTATCATGATTTATATAAGGGCAATAAGGTATTCTCCATCTTATTCTCTATCCCTTTTTTAATGATTCCTAACATCCTGTTTGCTTTTTAGACTGCCACTGCACACTGAGCAGATGTCTTCAGAGAACTATCTAAAATTACCCCCCATCATATTGTATGTAAAGTTGGGGTTATTGGTTCTAGGACTTATTGAAACACAGTAGGGGGCAGAATGAGAGCTACTGACCTAGTGCCTGCAACATGCAAAACCCAAGGCTTAAACCCTGTTCACATACAAACAGCAACTGTGTAATCAATTCCCTGATTCCCTGGCAAACACATGTGAAAATGAAATAGAGCAGGCTGGCCAAGCAATGGTCTGTATTTCAGCCTGGGTGTGTCTGCATCCTGGGATGCTACCAGCAATCCGTGCACACGGAAACTCATCTTTTCATGCAAGGGGCGTAAAAAAGTGGACACTGTTTTTAATACAAATCGGAAATATTGCGGGTACAGAGGGAGACAGATTATTTATTAGCTCAAACCACAGCAGTTTTCGGAAGCCAGCTCGCCATTCCTGGTGCACAGTCCAGGGTTTTGAAACGTGTTGTGCTTACTTTTGTGAAAGAGGAGAGAGTTAGGCCCTATAATGCTGGGTGAAGCTGGGGTTTAGCGCAAGTGTTTTCTAGGGAAAATAGAGTGGTGTATATCTGAGAATGGGAGTTGGGGTGGGTGTCACACCTCTCTGGAATGGATTTACAGCAAAATGTGACTCTTACTCTGAACCACTGCAGAACAGAGCGGAATCACGCACAGTCCCACTAAGCAGTCCTGGGGGAAGGGCAGCTGGTAATTTTCCCTCCAGGTATAGCAATCCCAACACAGGATTTGGGATCAGAACCGCAAATGCAGCTGCCCCCTGCTGCAGGCTTTCTGTGGGTCTAGCCAGTCACAGAACCAGCAGCAGCCTCCGGTGAGTGGCTGCCATGCCCCCCGAAAGGCGTAACATGCGGCTGCCGGGACAGAAGGACATGCTGCATCCGGGGATATCTGTGGGTCATGAAACTGCCTGAACTGTCTAACTGCAGGGAGGCAAACCCTGGTGCTCTGGAAAGATTCACAGGGGAGCCTAGGCCAGGAGCCTCTCAGTCCATATGCAGGTAAATACACGTGAGCAACCAGTTTGGTTAGCTCCCCTCTGTGCTGAGCGGAATCGGTTTTAGGACTTGAAAGGGGGAGAAGAGGGGAGAGATGATGTGATGGAGAAAGAGGAGGGGAAAGAGAAGAAAAACAGACTGACCTTCTTTGGCCGGGAGCCGCGAGGAGGGCTCTGTGTGGGTTGGAGTGTTGTAGACCAGCAGTGAGCTACCTGGAAGGAAAACAAAGGGGTTACAGTTAGAGACTTGCCTATCCGCTCTATATCCCCAGGTATCTGAATCTGTGGATGTGGATATCCACGGCTCATGTTTGTGGATACGGGAGACAGATGTGGGTACAAATTTTGGATCTAAAACCCTGCCGGTTGGTGGATATCTGCTTTCTAGCCACACGTATCTGCATCCACAGATTCAACGCACATCTCCACCACTCATTTTTGTGGCTGCAGATGTGGGATGTGGATGCAAATTTTATATCCACGCAGGGCTATAGTGATATGACTTCAGTGTTGCCCCAGACCCCACACCCGCTGAGGGATGACTCTGCCTAGAGATGTTGAGGCTATGAACTGCCGAGCCCTGCGGTGCCGTAGGACAACTTAAGCACTGACCCCATCCTCTGCGAAGTCCTGTGGGTGCCATGAGAGCACTTGCACGCAGGTGGGTAATATGCATTTCACAGTTGTCTCATCACAGTTAACGCTCTTCAATGTGAAGGAGGAACCTCCGCTCTTGAGGGCATATGTATGTGTTTGGGGGGGCGATTTCTTA